GTGAAATTACTGAATTTAAATGTACAAGCTTGATAAAAATTATTATTCTAGAAGAGAATTTCAAATGGCACTTAGAGGCTTTTGCATCTGAACTCTTCATATATATATATATATATATATATATATATATATACCCATAATATTAATTTTATATATATATATATATATATAAATTAATTAATTATTTTTTTCAATGACAGGCAAAATTGTATTTTCAATAACAGGCAAAATTGTACTTTTGGTTTTCACAGTTTTAAATAATTGGTTACATCCTTGAGATTAAATATTGTGTTTTTTTTTCTTTTTTTTTTCTTACATATACATTTTAAAATGTGAAGATTTTTTTTTAAAAATTAGTACTGTTACTATTTATTTAACAAAGATGCATTAAATGAATCAAACGTGATGGTAAAGTTAATGTTACAAAAGATTTACATTATATTTGTATGTGTATATACACACACATATATACACACACATTTCGTTGTGGTTAGCCCAAATTTAACTGAAAAGGCAACTTTTAATGACTTCTGCAGTCGCAAAATTATTCAACCACTTCATGGCAAGCATCTTAGAGGATGCAAAGGAGCCCCAGAGCATCACCGAGATCCTATTCAGGGAGTTGAATAATTTTGAGACTGCGGAAGTCATTAAAAGTTGCATTTTTAGTTGGATATGGGAAAACCACCTGTTGTGTGAAACATTTGTTGTGTTGAGCTTTGTTTGATTTGTTTATTGGAAACAGCAAAAAGTCTGTAAATTTTGCTGGATTCGCAATGGGGGTTGAATAATTTCGATGTGTGTTTGAGTATACACAAATGATATATACAATTAACTGAATACACTGCACAGCACTCTTTAAACCATTTGAGAATCAAGCATCACATCTAATACCATATTTTACCAGACATTTTATTCATTGGTCCCTGATTACTACTCACTTTCTAAAAGTGCTGCATACTTTAAGTATCTCTGTTATGGATGTTGGTCAATCCTTTACTCTCTTTGAAGCAAGATTAATGTGACTCATTTCTGACACATCCTCTGTTCTACATTACCTCATACACTGAGGCTTTTGAATCTGTCGACTAAATCATGCCTCCAGACTTAATTTCTGTGCTTTTGATTAATTCAAGCGCCTATTTCTCTATTCATTCCCCTGCACGTTTATACACGTTGCATACATCCATTGTTTCCTTTGCTTAATATTTTGCTGTTATTCGACGTATAACTCTTATATGTGGGTGAGATAGACTCACTCCGGTTATCTTTGCTCTGGAGGGCAGGAGGGTAGAAGTTTTTCAATGGCCGCCCCAGCGTGCCCTCGCTGGAGGTGGCGGTTGTTAGGACCGTGCTGTTGTTCCTCTCTCCTTGCTGGACCGGACTAGACTGGTGACGCAGAATGTCCACCAGCGCTCTGAAAAGAGAGAGGTAAACAGTAAAAATGAAATACGAGTGTATGACGCAATCAAAAAGCAAGAGCTGAAAGAGTCTGACATCAAAATCACAACGAATCTCTTCATATGGCAGTCACTGGTGCAAACTCATATGTGTACAGCATTGTCTCCTTCCACTTTGCGAGTGCGGTCATAATGGGCCTTTCACTCACCTAGGCATGTTGATGTCTCTATTCCTCGGTCGTCGAGACAGTTTATGGAAGGCCACTTTAATCCCAATGGCCACAGCCATGGTAAAAGAGATGACTCCCCCAATGACGTAAGCCGTGCTGTTGCTCTGTTGCTGCAGCGGGTCGAAATCTGGGTCGTGTCGGACCGGGGGTTGAGTGACGGGTCCCGTCGTGACGGCCCAGTCGGGTGAGCGGTAATTATTGCAGGAGTCTTGGTCTAGACGGCTGCGCTGGTGCTCACAGCAGAAGCGATAATGGCAGGTGCCACAGCAGTATATGTAGGTCCCCCTGGTGCAGTTGAAAGTGTTGTCGAACTGTCCCATCACGTCATAGTAGCCCTGACACACGTCCACGTCCACCAGTCGCCGAGGCGGAGGCGCCACCTGTGCGGCTCCCAGCGGGGGCTTCAGGGCATCGGCTGTTACATTGCGGGGTAGCATGATCTGCGGCAGGGGTCTTGGAGGGATCTCGGCTGCCTCCGGCTCTGCCGCCATGGCAGCCGCCTCCTTGTCCCGCATGTCAGGCAGAGGGACCTTGCGGCCACGTCCTCGCAACAGAAGCAACACCGGCCCCCCATTCACAGAGGAGCGTTCCGAGGTAATTGTCACTGTGGAGACCACAGGGCAGAACAAAAAGAAAAGCAAGATGGCAGCGCGTGGCATCTTGATACGGGGGACTTTTTCTTATCAAAGATGGAAAAAAAGTGAAGCCTTTGTACAAAAGACTACCGAGGCCTACAAAAAGCTGACGTCTATCAAAATTTGCAAGTCAATGTGATAATATATAAGACATGTAGACAAGTTAATCTCTTCCACGTGTGCATACACTAGTATGCAAATTATTTCATATGTAAAATACACATCCAAGTGCAGGAGTTCAGATTGAAGAAAAAAGCATGAGACTCGCAGTTAGGGTGTAAACATATTTCTGAGGAAATTATTAACAAGAATGAGGTAAATCTATGTACAAGTTTTATGCTTAATGGGTGAGAGTTGGATTTGGCACAAAATCAAATATTTGGAATCTTCTCAATGAGAAAATTCTATTTAAAAAAAAACAACAGCTTTAGAAATATGACAATGAATAAAGTATTTGACTTTTGTTGCAAGCAATTTAGTTCTGTAAACAAAACGCATATATTTGAACAATGTAAACTTTTTAAAGTGTCAAAGTCATGGGAACTTCCTCTTAAAGGTGGTTTTGTTTAAGTCTGTGTAACTGAACTGATCTATGGCACAAACAACTCATTCAAGACTCAATCTGAGTTCACCTCATGGGCAACATGTAAACATTTCTGTTTGAGTGTAAACTATATCTCACCAAATGCTCTTTATTCAGGTTGGCACTTCAGTTCTCGACTCACTACCCAACCAACAGTTAATACCACTCAGCTATTCTGTGTGATGTGTAAACAACTGTCATTGTCAGCTTCAAGAACTGATGTCGTCTTGTAAACAAATCTCAGTTGGTTGGCGCTTTAGGCTTTATTCATCAATGAGAATATCTTGCAAGACTAACAAGAATACCTTTCAAAGTCATTGAGGTTCTGTTGTGCGGTCCAAATGATCAAGCTAACAGTGTCAGTTCTCAAGAAAAATACTAAGTACTTCATCCTTTCGAGTTTCAGAAGGAAGTCATTGAGGCTAAAGATAAAGGTAGGACGAAGCGATGAAAGAGCGACTTTCAAGAGTTCAGGAGAAATGGGGAAGAGCTGATCTTTTCTCTAAAGGTGGCACCACGGAACAAAGGCTCATTACGAAGGCTTTGGAAGAGTGTAGGTCGGTTAGGGCACTCGCGAAGTGTAACAAGCAGCAGGTGTATATTAGTTCCTGGCTTGACGACACAAGTCAGGCCAGAAAGGAAGAAGTGTTCGGAAAGGACGAAAGGAAATGGAAGGATGGACTGAGTCTAGGTAAAGGTTGAGGGTCTATGTGTGTTGGACCTCTTGCGTGCGTGAGTGTCTCTGCTCCGGATTTAGCTCAACCAACAGAATAAAACAAACGGGGGCTTGGGCCCAGTTCTGGCAGGACAGCATGGTTGAGCCCACTGAACAGGCATGAACAAGTCGGGATTCATCCGTCAATGTGGTACACGTGTGGACCGTCAAGCAAACGCACCAAAAGACCTATCCTAAGTGGTAAAGAGCGTCTTTTCAAGTAGTGGGACAACTTTAAACGTCGTCCCACTGTCAACACAGTAAACGCGTCAATGGCTCGCTGGTGAATATGGCAGCTTACGGAACGTCAAACCTGGACCACCGTCGGACATATAGACCTCTAAAAATATTCCTGAATATACCCATGCATCTGCGGTTTTAGAATCCTCTCAACGCTAGCAGGGATCTTGATGTTAGTATGGCTATGAGACGTATGGCTTTAGTATCTAAACCCTTCAGAGACTCCTGAGGGTTCTGCTCTAAATGCGTAGAGTCCGTAGAGGTGGGAGGAGCAAACGAGATGGATGACTACAGAGATCTGATGGATAGGAAGAGTAAAACGGGCCTTAGTGAGAGGAACGGACGACTAATCAACAGAATTAGCAGCAGCTCACTTTGGAAAGTTTAATGAGGCTTGTGCCAGCCATCCATAAGCCCGTCCATCCATCGATCAATCGATCAGGAGCCGAACTCTCTCAGGCTAATGCATTCGTAACGGTCACTCTTACATAAAGCATGTTTAACCAATAATGCACTGTTCTCCCTATTTTGGGGAGCAAAAGCTGCTTGTTGTGTGCGACTCAAATTAATGAATGATGTAAGTATAAACGATACACCTTGGGAACTATTACATGCTATTCAGTAGTGAAAGAGACTGATGAAACTTAAGAATTTAAGTTGGT